TTGACAGGTCACCTAGACAACCACGTACACACATACTACAACACTAGAAACCACCAAGTATCCCACAACATGTAAGCTTCACCTGGAAAAGCCCAGACTGGCACTGTAATACCGAACAATGTGTTTGTTAAATGTGTATCATATTTGAGCCTCACCCCCTTCCTCATTCAGAGTGCACCCTCGATTCCTTTCCTCCGGTGTTAGTCCCGCCCACCGGGAGATGCAAGCGGAGGAACCGAGGAAGAGACACATCAGCCAATAGTCAAATGTGCTTTAGATGCTTTCTAAAAATGGGAGACGTGAACCGGAAGTATCTGTGTGTCAGCTGGTGGAATTCTCTAAATGTTAAGGAAAGGCGCTTCAATGCTTCCTTTATTATCTTCTTTGACATCGGATGCACTGGACGATCGTTTTTTGTTGTTGTTGTTTTAGGAAATGAGATAACCCGATCACGTCCCATAATCACAGCAACATGCCACCAGACAGCGTGATTAACACTGCGTTTTCAATCGCTTCAAGCTTTGTTAAACCCACAGGTGAATGCAGATGTGAGATTTGCTTCTCATCATGTTGTCGCAGGAAGAATCCATATATTAAAAATCTTAATGAATAAATGAACGGAGATTATGACCCATAACAAAATGATACAAGTAAATTCATGCAGTTTGTGTTAATTATGTTCACTGTTACCGTGCACCCTTTAGGATCATTTATTTATAGAGGAGTTATAGCAGGTCCAGGTGAAGGAGCACATATGAGTTAACTGATCTTAGGTGTGAATGTGAGTATATATCCAGTCTTTGTGTGTTAGCCCTGCAAAAGTCTAGCAATCTGGGTGGACCCTGCCTCTTGCCTTATGACTGCTGGAGTTAGGTTTCAGGTTCCTGTGACCCTGAATTTGACCGCAGTCAAGGAGAGGAGACCAAGCAACAGGCATTTATAAAGCATGTCAATCAAATATGACACGTGACACAACTACTGCTTGTTTTATCATCTCAGACCTGTGTTATTTTTAAATAAATTCACTGCATAACACAGTGGGACAATCACACAGATAAAAATTGGGAAAGGAGGAAAGCTTCACAAAGATAAATGAAAACATGAAATAAAAAGGGGCAAGGGCAGTTTGTGTATCAAAGCTGTGTGCAAAGCCTCAATAAGGGCATAAAAACAGAATCTAGTTTTCTCACAAAAATCCCTTTTGATGAAGGTAAAAACACTTCTGCAAAGAATATACCTGTGCATCCTTTGTTATTTATAGGTCGTCTGGCAAGCGTCTCATCCAGACATGATTTAGGAAGTGAGACATCCGTCAACAAAGATTGTTTTCCAGGTCACAGCCGGGACGGAGGAGACGAGGAGGCACAAATCAGAGAAAGCCTTTAAACTCTGACTGACTGTTCATCAATAAAAGACAAAATGACACGTCATCACCTCTGTGATTTTAAATACAATCTTTATTTTCATGGTATCACTCAACAATCCAAAATACACAGTTCCTAAAAAAAAGACAGTTGTTGCTTAAATACAAGATATATTTTACATTATTGTGGTCAGGGTCGCATGGATTTTCTGTATGCTTGTCTCTATATTACGCACCACTCTGCGGCATATCTATACTTCCTTATTCACAAAGGCACGGAGGCAAAGGCACTGTAGCACAGCTCAGACACTCTGTCCAGGTCTGTTTGGACTTTCTTGGCATCAGTTGAAATAGAAAATGAAATGTACTTATTGTTAGGTTTTCAAATGTCACTGCACTTATGATTCATGGCATGGTTTTAGTCCACCAACAACTATGGACACTTCTTTTAAAATATATCAAAAGGGAATGCACACCGAAGGACATTATGTACAAAGTGCTATACATATATATATACAGTTTAGGAACAAAGAGGAAGAGAGAACACATCTTCTGTTTCAAGGTCTTTAAAAGAAGATCTTTTCTGTAAAAGTATTATTTTGAAAACAAGCAACAAGATACATCTGACTGGGATTGTGCTGCTGCCTGCTCTCCATGGAGGCTTTCCCAGTTTCCAAAGAGCTACTGTTAGATGGCAGGAAGATCCAGCTCCACTTGAGTCAAATACAAACAGATTTAATATGACAACCACAAGAGTACCATAAATTATCCCACATTATTGTGTATTACACTTCAGTTTGACAACACTGTGTATTATGCACCCGTCTTTTGACAGTCCAGCATCTCTTCAGCCACAAATGGCTTCATAAAGACAAAGGGAGAGGTCCACTCTATTTACACATATAATTAAAATGAATGCTAAAATTCAAAGTCCAAGATCAGAAATTTCCTAATAGCAAGAGGAAAGCTGATCATGATTTTCCCGACGTAAAAAAAACCTGCTACCCATGCAAATGTTAAACATGTAGCAACACAGAGCAAGGTTGTTAGCAACTGTAAAATACAATTTCCAGTTTTTTTATTTTTCTGATAAACTACGCATTTGTCAATGGACATTCTTATGAAAAAAATCAACAACACTCTTCTGGTGTTTTACTTTCTGCAAGTGTGGGCACACAAGAATCTGTTTTTAATTTAGTGACATTTAGTGTATTTAGTCATCAGAGGGTTTACATGATGTGGCATAGACATCCATCTGCCCTCCAAGTGGCTATGACCACATGGACTTCACTGCAAAGGCAAGGGCATCTCCTTGCTATGCATCCCCCAAGCAGGTGTGATAAAACTGCTCGTCCATGGTCCCTACAGCTGTGCATGTCCAAAACAAATATCATCATTTACTGTCTTAGTAATATCAGGTCTTACTAAGACAGCAAATGTTTGTTAAAATATGAATTAATGTATGAATTCTATAACAGCAAAGACAGTGATTTAAGTATATCTAACAGGAATAAATAATATTTTTAAAAACCTCATTTTGGAGCAGTCTGTAAACCTTTTAAATATTTTTACCCAGTTTGACTGTTGAATTCATACATAATGTTTGAAATTAAAGTTAATTTAAATAATGCATAAAAAATATGACCTTAAATAAGTCCCTGGAAACATTTCAAGGCTGCAAAGCTGTGAGATAACAAGAAGGACATTGTAATGACCTAAAAGTCAAACTTTTGCTTGAAATATTAAAGATCTGCATCATGCAAGTGATTGCTCTGAGTTTCATGAAAAGGTTGCAATTACTCTTATATCTGTAAGCTAATAATTATAAATCTAGTTAATACTGACTGGCTAAACTAACTATAACCTACTGACAAGTAGATTTGTTTGTTTAACCCAGGGGTCTCAAACTTGCGGCCCACGTCACCCCTACTTGCGCCCCGTGTATTGACATGAAGAAATACAATGCAACTTGGCCCTTGAAGTTTGGTTTGTTTGTTTTTTTTGTACAACTTGAATACTAAAGTGGCCCTCCGATGAGATGACAGTGCCAGCAGGGGCCCACACCTCATTTAAGTTTGAGACCCCTGGTTTAACCTGTATGAAATTCCAAGTGTGAAAACATTATTTCTAATCTTAATGCAAATCAAAGCTAACTGCTGTTAGATGAAGTTTCATATCTGCTTGACAGCTTTTATCAAAGTTTTGATTAAAAATATAGTACTCAAAATCTTAGACCTGACATGATGCTTAACTTTAACATCTAAGCAATGGTTTAACACTTTTTGAAAAATTAATTTAACCCCCACTAACATCTGGAAACTATCTGGGCTACCATCCGTAGCATACATAAAGAGGAGAAAATACTGGCAAATTAAATATTTTTGCTCAAATTCAACAACTGTTAAAAAACAAGAACAAAAAAGCAACTATTTGTTAATTTACATGAGTACTTTTTTGTTTGTTTGTTGGACAGAGCCAGGCTAACCGTTTCCCTCCTGGTTCCACGCTAGGCTAAGCTAACCAGCTGCTTGCCGTAGCTTCATATTTATTGTACTGGTATGAAAACGCTGGTTTTATGGTTTATTCTAACCAGACTCTTGGTAGGTAAACCACTAAGGGTCTTTTACAAAACCTCAATTTATTCTGTAAAAGTTATGATACAAAAAGACATTTTAAATACGCTAATAGTGGTAACATCCCCAGGGTTTGGACTTTTTGTGGCAGTATGTTCTTTGGCAGAGAGACACGATAAGGAAACCTGCCGTCATGAGAAACGCTGTCAGTAACAAAATGACAAAACTATAAAAGACCCGTAAACCTTTCCCCTGTCAATCGCTAATAAACTTTTTGGTGTTGTTGTTATGCATCCCATTCTGTCCTGCACAGCTCCGTGGGAAGAAGTCTGCACGGAGCAAGCGGTAGAAATAAATTAGGATCATAATATTCATCACCATCATAGAAACAAGAAAGTATCCACCGTGGTCCAGCCAGGAGTAGTTGTGGATAATAAACCAAGTGAGGTAGAACTGGGTGGTGAGGCGAAACATAACGTAGGTGAACAGGTTGGTGAGCTTGTTGACGTAGTACAAGGTGGAAGACTGAGCACTCGCCAGCTTCAGCATCAGCCTCAGATGCAGGGTGACGCTGTTGACCTCCACAAAGAGGGCGATTACAGCGCCGGCTACATAGAGCTGAGTGTACAGGGCATACAGGAAACACCAAATCACCTGAGGACGAGACAGACATAGAGGGTGGTGCAAGTGTTTGTACTAATAGCTAATCTCTTGTGGATTGTGATCTCATTGTTTGCTTTTCTTTGCAGCTCAATTGCTTTTATTGTTTGCTTTGGGACTTTGTCAGTGCATGTCCAGATTCAATCTAAGAATATGTACTATACTCAGTGGAAAACCATGATTTTTCCAACATTAAAAGTAATTGCCGGGTAATATTAAAGGATTTAACGCAGTAGATAATTTAACAGCTATAATAATCCTTTGTTCAGAGTACATTATAAACAAACCTTACACTTTGGTAGGTAAAACTGAGTTAGACCACTTTTGCCTACAGAATTGCCTTAATTCTTGATGGCATAGATTCAACAAAGTGCTGGAAACATTCCTTAGAGGTTTTGGTTGATATTGACCTGACAGCGTCACACAGTTGCAGATTTGTCAGCTGCATATACATGATGAGAATCTCCCATTGCACCACATTCCAAAGCTGCTCAATTGGATTGAGATTTGGTGACTATGGAGTTCGCTTGAGTAAAGTGAACTCATTATTGTCTTCAATAAACAAATTTGAGATTATTTGAGCTTTGTGATATGTCTTGTTATCCCACTGGAAGCAGCCATCAGAGCACAGGAACAGTGTGGTCATAAAAGGACTGATATGGTCGGTAGCAAAATTCTGCTAAGCTGTTGTG